GGGAATGACCTTCTGTGTAGGCATTTCTTGGTTGGAGAAAGTTACGGGGTAACTTGCATTTAAAGCTACCTAGCTTAGGAACTTCAAGAGGTAATCTCTTTGTACTGGGGTTAATTCCTGTGTGTGCTCCACCATGCCCATTGGGGTAGTGGTTGGAAGTTGTTTATGCAATGGTTTGATTATAACATGTTCATCCATATGTAAATATTGGGTACATAGAGTTGTACCGTATCTCTGGGCAGAAGATAGTTGCCGTATGGTGTTGGGGACTTCCACTGGATAGGTCTCCGTAGGGAGTTCCAGTTGGCCTGGGGCCATGGAGATTTTATCTGTTGAGGAGCACTCTAGGAATGTCTCTGGTGTTATGGTTGGGGGTGCCTTGAATGATGTTCCGAGAACACATTCCTGGATTGAGAGCCCGTATGAGGTCAATAGGCCGGATGGTGCATGGTTTTGGCTCTGACTATTCCTACTCCATCGTATGTCTTTCTCTTCTATGTCCCTATCTGTCTAAATCCCTTTCTATATCCCTCTCTCTGTTATATCCCTATATCTCTAAATCCCCTGCTATATCCCTATTTTGTTATAATTCATTATTATATATTACATCTGAGTGAGCTATTGGGCGGAGTGATCCTTCAGAACCTTTGAATTACCGAGATATATTCGTATATCTTATCCCGCGTTATGGGGCTATGTTTCAGGTGGTTGTTGCGGGCTAGAGCACTGGGCAAGAGGCCCACGAGATGAGTACATAGAGTATAGTGTTATTTTGCATTTTGGGCCATATTAGGCATAGGCTAAACTTAGTGCAAGAACATTGTGTTGCGTGAGTTATGTATTTCATGCTTTTGTTGTTCATGTAGTGTTATTAGGCTAAGTCTAGGGTGTTGTAATTATTGGCATTGATGTATTTATTGTAGTTATATTTGATAGTTGGAGACTTATAATTTAATGCTTTATGGGCTTTGTGTAATTAATGAAGCATGTATGTGATGGAAGGGCAATAGGTCTATTTAGGTTATGATTTTATATGTCAATTGTTAAGAATGCATTAAATGGAATTATGTGATTATAATGAGTTTAAGTTTCAATGAAGTTATGTAATGGATTGCAAAGTTCATGGAAATGATGTATATTGTAAGGGTTGTAAGAGCACCAAGACTTTGTTGGTTCTTGTGTGCCACCCTTGTCAATTATGTACCATTTGAGGTTTAAAACACACTTTGGTTAAAGTGGGATATGTTAAATAAATAAAGGAGATGCCATCAAAATTTATAATAAATGACCAGTTTTTAGGCTAACTTTGGGAGAATATATCTCCCTCGACAGAGGTCCAATAAGGACTTACCATACATCATTTTGAAGATTGAGATGTCTGCTACGTTGTATCAAAATTTGGTGCCATTTGAAGCTGTGTAGCGACTTGTAGATTCGATTGAGTGAGGACTACCCTTAGAGGCCCTACGTAGGGGCTGTCGGGTCTGCACTTTCCAAAAGTTTTTTCTTCCTCAATTCTTACTCAAATTAGGTTAATGATATATCAAATTAAAGCCCAAGGATTCTAGTATTCTTTATAAAAATTTGAGAGCAATTGATTGAGTGGTTTGTTCAAAATCCTAGAAATGGTGAGGGATGTTTGGTGCCTTATTTTGGGTTGGCTGGCAGTTTTGCTTGTCCAACTTCGAACGGTGATAACCGGAGCTAGAGAACTCAAAATTAGGCGTGTATACCTTGTTGGAAAGATAATTGAGTCTAGATTAATATAATAAAAGATGAGAATGTTATAGCAAGTGGGTGTCACGCAGTGACCAAAAAACAGAAGCATATTCAGTTATAGGAAAACCGTCAAAGTGAGAATTATGCTAAGAGGGCTTATGGGGAACCCCTTAGTAGCTTAGAATAAGTAATGTATGATAGTTAAGCTTTTATTTTATTTATTTCCGCATTTAGAATTCAGTTGTGATCACAGGTTATGTCGTTAGTTTTATTATTGTTTTCAAACGCTTACGTAATGAAAAGGATAAAGTTTACTCGCATTTTTACATGAACTGCTGTGATTTTAATTGCGCTAAATATCATAATCAATGTTAATAATACCGGTGTACAACGGGGTATTACAGATGGAAAAAAATAAAGCCCTCCAATCCAACTGTGCAATGATTAGTTGGAAGAATCCACTAGTTTGCCGCCAACCTCCTTCACCTATAAAAGGAAAAGCAAAAATAGAAGAAGGGAGACACGCCTGTTACCTTCATTCTAGGCCGAAGTATTAGTTTGACACAGTAGTTTAGAACAACACTCCTATCTCTTTTCTAAACCTCCATTGAGACTCCTCACGAGCAAAAAACCATTTTCTCCATTTTGTTTACTATTCCATAAATTACAGTGTATTGTTTTAAGTTTATAATTTCTCTTCGACCTGAACCGCTTCTTTCATTCTGTATCTCAAGTTAATGGGATCTCAGAACATTGAAGTTTTGTTTGTATTTTTAGCTATGTATTTGAACATGGGCTAAGTTGTCTTGGGAATGGAAACTTTGTGAAGTTGTTAAATAATTGTTTTTGAATCTCTTAAACTTAATCTTTTGGGCTTCTATTATTAAGTATTTTATCATCTTGTATCAATAGAAATTGAACATGACTGAGAAAGAAACTTTCTTAAGGAAGGAATTTCATACTGCTTAATAGTATGAAGAAAGTGAGGCATGGAAACATTATCACTAGTTGCCTTAGGAATAAGGAACTGCCTCGTTCCCTCAAGATTCTGTACTGATTCAATGTTGGGAACAAGTGAGCCATAAGAATATAGGGTCTTGTAAACCAAGTAGTTCACGAGCTGAGGAATCAGAGTTGGCAATGAAAGAGACCTGAACAAGTCCAAAAGACTGAGTCTCGAGCCTAGAATACAGCTCATTAAACAATGGATCAAGGATATCGTTCCCTTCTGTTTAAACATCATTCACTAACTCGTTTACTAAGTGTTGTTCTTGAATTACTGTGTTATTTACATTTCGCCATATTTCTAAACAAAAATACCTAATTGACATTTCCAAATTGTCGTCCCTTCTCACATTAAGAAGGAGCTGAATATATAACGACACGAGGAATTGATTTTAGTTGATTTGAACTCTTTGTCTTGAACTTTACGCTTTGACATTATGTGGAACCATAAACCAGATCAGTTTAATACCATTTTTTTCTTCACTTTGAAATTCTTTAATATAGTTTTAAATATCCCCTAGCAATACTTTCTTCGTGGGAACCATAACTTGGGCATTAATAATCCCTTTTATTACTTGATGCGTGCACTTGCGCGACTGGGTCATCTTCTTGGGAACGAATGAGTTTCTCTTGATGGACTAAGTAAGGGAACATCCAACAAGCTTTTGGCACAAACGACCCATCAAGTTTTTGGCGTTGCTGCCGGATAGAGTCTTTAATAAGCATCATATTGTGAACTATATTCATTTATTCTTGTGATTATACCAACAATTTTTTAACTATTAATTTGTTTTTTATCTTTCTGTTGAGATTAGTGTTGTTGGAATCTGTATATTATAGTTTATGAGTGAGTTTCCTGACTCATGGTTATTCTTCTGATCCAGAGAGACCTCTCTTCCACCCTAATTTTTTTGATCATAAACCTGAATGCATGTTGCATCGATGAAAAAGGATCTCGAGACAAGCTGAGCCAGAACTAGACATGGGTGATAATAAGGACAACATTGAGAATGATACTGATGGAACTCTACCACCACCACCTGGGCCATTATTCAAAATCTTGGTTGCTCCGTCTAGGAACATGCTAGATAAAACAGTAGTTTCCCCCTGTAACAGCCCCCCCAACTTCGAGCTCAAACCTATTACTTTAACATGATCAGGGATGCTGTAGTTTTTAATGAACTTCCATCAAAAGATCTATTTGCCCACCTTAACAATTTTCTTGACATTTGCGATAATTTCATAGTAGATGGTGTCATGGAGGATGGGTTGGGAATGAGGTTGTTCCCTCACTCTCTGGGATCAAAAGCCAAAGTTTGGCTCAAATCTCTTCCACCTGGTTTCATTCATTCGTGGGAGGAACTTTCTCGCAAGTTCAAAGAAAGATTCCTCCCCATGTCTCGTGTTGCTTAAGTAAGGGTTGGGCTGTCAAATTTTTGCATGTTTTATGGAGAAAACCTCCATAAAGCATGTGAACGATATAAAGACTTAAAAAAAATGTCCTAACTATGGGGGTGAGAGTTGGGGAGTTTTCCAAACTTTTTATAAAAGCATAGATCACACATCCCAATCTAACTTAGATTTTTTCGCTGGAGGAACTTTCTTCGAAGGAACGGTAGAATCGTTTTTTGACATTATTGAAAATGTAGCTGAAAGGTGTCTCCAGTGGCCTTTGGATAGAGTCATTCCCACAAAGAAACCTGGAATGTTGAAACTGGACAAGCAAGCTACTCTGGAAGCACAGTTGGCAGTCCTGATGAATGAAGTCAAAGGCTTGAAATCTGAACGAAATCAGGCTAAAGCAAATGTTTCTCGAATCACCACCCTGGAGGAGGAGCCATGTCCAACTTGTGGAGGTGACCATAATTACTCTGACTGTCCACAGCCCGCATCAGTCTATTATGGAGAGAATTACGGTGGCAAGAACTCTTGTTAACCCAGAGGCAATAACCATACGAGGAGGGATAATGTTCAAAAGTATAACAACTCAGGATAGAAGGATCAAAATCCCCAATGGAGATCACCCACCAACCAGAAATTTTACAACAACCAACAGCAAGCTCGGCAAAATCATAATGGGAACAACAGAACATATGTTTCATTCCCTAAATATGATCAGCGTGTTAGTTACCTAGAGGACTCTGGCTTTGGGAGTCTTGTTCAATGGTGGGCCAATAAAATTTTGCCTTAAGAGCTTTTCTTGCGAGGGAGCGTCCTCTTATGTGGTGACCGTTCAAGCGTTCATGAATTTCTTCAAGGACATACTCGATGTCACTCTAATTTAGGCACTTTAAGAGTGAGGTTGAAAGTCCACTTTTGTATAGGAGGCCTTGCACTATGTAGAAGTGGTCGCTTCTTCCCACGATTTTCTTTGCCTCATTCTGGTCTAGAGGGAGGGTTCCTTTAGAAAGATAATTAATGATGGGCATGGTCCAAGACTCTTTGGCGATTTCAATGGCTACATCTGAGATGCTCATAATGATGCATGGGTTGGGTAAATTCTGTTGGACGACCACGCGGTTGTTGCCTGGACTCTTGGTGCTTGCTAGTTTGGCGAGGATGTTTGCCCGAGTGTTCTCTGATCGCCTTATGTGTTCGACTTCAACCACATTGAAGCTTTCCATTAACCCATTAACATTTTCCAAGTACTTGCTCATCAAGGGTCCTTTAGCATGGTACTCGCCTGAGATTTGGAAAGTCACCAGCTGAGAATCGTTGAAGACTTTGAGGTGTTGTTCCCCTAACTTCTTGGCTTGAAGGAGGCCAGCTACGATGGCCTCATACTCAGCTTGATTAGTGGTGTTGAAATTGAATGACAAAGAGTGTTCAACTGCTATGCCGTCTGGGTTTTCAATTATAATGCCGACACTAGAACCTTTGGCGTTTGAGGATGCATTCACAAAGAGTCTCCAAAAGGCTGGCAGCTGTGCATCGACGGTGCAGTCAGTAAGCTTGGCGGCATACGTCATTTCTGCGATGAAATCTGTAAGGGATTGGGCTTTAATGGCTGCCCTTGGTTTATAACTGAGTTGATATTCTGATAACTCGATTGCCCAAGACATCATTCGTCCAGCGAGATCTGGCTTATGAAGTATCTGACGGATGGGTCGGTTGGTTCTGACTATAATGGGGTGGCATTGGAAATATGGTCTTAGCCTCCGGGCTACAATGATTAGGGTGAGGGCTACCTTCTCTACCTGTTGATACTGCAGCTCGGCCTCTTGCAAAACTTTGCTGACGAAGTAGACCGGTCTTTGACTATCTTCTTTGGATTCTCTGATAAGGGTTGCACTTATGGCTTTGGTACCAACACCGACGTACAAGTATAGAATCTCACTGCTTTTCGATTTGGTGAGGACCGACGGGCACGACAACATAGTTTTGAGCTCCTGGAAGGCTTTTTCACACTCGTTGATCCACTGAAAACTAATTCTGTTCCTTAGTAGGCTGAAAAGGGGAAGGGATTTGTGGGCAGAATTTGCTAGGAAGAAGGTGAGAGCTACAATCTATCCGATCAGTTTTTGTACCTCTTTGACCATTTGGGGCCTCTTCATTTCTAAGATTGCCTTGCACTTGTCAGGGTTGATTTCAATGCTTCTCTCGGTTAACATGAAACTAAGGAACTTCTCGGCTGGCACCCTAAACGCACACTAACTGGGAATTAGCCCCATGTTATATTATCTCAACTAGTTGAAGACTTTTTGAAGGTACTAGAGGTGATCTTCGATTGATCAAGACTTGGTGATCATATCATCAATATAAACTTCAATTACGTCCCCAATCAAGTCTTTGAACACTTTGTTCAATGTTATTTGATAGGTGGCTCCAGCATTTTTTAGATCAAAAGGCATGATGGTGTAATAGTAGTTTACATTTTGTGTGATGAAGGTCAGAATATGCATCCATAAAAGACAACATTTTGAAACTGGAAGCACTGTCCACCAGTTGGTCGATGCTTGGGAAAATATAGGCATCTTTGTGGCATACCTTGTTTAGGTCTGTGTAGTCTACGCACATCCTCCATGCCCCACTGGGCTCTTTGACCAGCACTAGGTTGGCTAGCCAAGGGGTGTAGCTTATTTCCCTGATGAAGTATCATAGAGTCTTTTTACTTCTGTATCAATGATTTTCTGGCGGTCAGGGCCAAACTTCCTTTTTTTTGGGTGAAAGGTTTTGCTTTGGGGTCAACGGACAACCTATGAAAGTAGACTTCCGGGTCAATGTCGGGCATATCAGATGGCTTCTAGGCGAAAAGGTCTTTATTATCTCTAAGCGACTTGACTAACCTTCCTTTCAGCTCTAGGGTTATGGCCACCCCCATGGTTGTTGTCTGCTCTTCAGTCTCGCCCAGAATGATATGTTCTATTGCTCCGTCAGGCGTGGGCATAAAATGTTCAACCTGCGGGTCATCTCTGACATCGAACTCTACCAAGAAACATTGTTCTTGATTCTTCTCTATCTTGTTAGAGCTCTATGGTTGGTCATGATACTTTTTTTGAGATTGGCCCTTTTCTTGGAATGTAACAGTTGATGTTAGGTGGAGGCTTATATTGTAACAACTTCTGGCCATGGTTTGGTCTCCTCGGACTGTTGCCACCTTATTGTTCTTTGTTATGAACTTCATGGCCAGGTGGGGGTGGGAAATGCTTACTTCAAAGGCAGAAAACATTCGACGGCCAAGGATGGCATTATAAGCAGAGGGGGTATCGAGTAGAATTGTATGTCTTCGGATCTGGAGGTAAGTGGCGTCTCGAGCGAGAGTTGTAAATCAATCATGTCGAGCGGCTTGGTAATGGTGGCATTGAAACCTGACATATCACTAATGACTGGCTTCAAATCTTTGGTACTGTAACCAAAAGCCTCGAGGGATGGCAAGAAGAGTATGCTAGCTGAACTACCGTGATCAACAAATACTCGGTTGACCCTAAAGTTGGCGATTATAGCTTGGATGACGAGGGGGTCATCATGCCCAGGGATAATCTCGTTAAGCTCATCGCTATCCCATACAAATTTTGGTTTCTTGGGCACCTGCAAATCTCTGCCTTTGGCGATTGGTAGTCTGGAGACTACCAAACACTGTTTGAGGTATCTCTTTCTGGCATTTTTGGTTTTCCCTCCTCCACCCAAGCCTAAGGATATCATATTGATGAAACCATGTTTGATGATGACAGAACATTCTCTTTCTCAACCATCTTTGTTGGCGGGCTTCGGTTGCTCCCTATGTGCCTTGGACGTCTCTTCTTTCTTGTCAGGATCATGGCAGGGGGGTCTGTATCCAGTTCTACTTGCTCTTCAATTATCCAGTGATAGGCTCCGCTCAGGGCGATGTATCCATCTTTCATCTTTCTCTTGGTGCTTCATGAAGTGAGGTGTTTATCTTATAATCACCCTTGTAATTAGCCTGCATTCTGTTGTGCATAGGGTGGGTATGTGATGTCTGCATTAGGGCATGACTGGTATAATTGGCGGTGGTTTTATGAAACTTCTTATCATCTTCACTATGTTCCTCATGGTGGGCTAGCTCGTAGGCGAAGGCTCCTTGCCTCAGTGATAATGAATATTTTATTGAACTTATTTATCACTCTTGATTAGTATTTTAGGAGTATTTGAAATGAAAAAAATGGTCTTTTGGGTTAAATTAGATTTCTGGTTGTTCATTGGGTTTAATTTATTTTCGTCATTAATTTCCAACTTTACGTTACTTTAGTATTGTGACCATATCTCACTCCACAGGTATCCGATTGACTCTGTTCTTGTTTCATTTTAAAGATAACTCAGAGGGCTACAAATGCGATGAAGACAAGAAAGCCCAAGTCAGAAATGAGTTACTGAAATTTTATTGATTTAAATTTGTAATTAGAACCCAATTCTGTTGAGGCCCAAAGCCATTGTTTTAGTTCTGATTTTGTTTATTTTATTATTATAGGCTGAAATTAGTTGAAACCTAACCTAGTTGTGATGTGGGTTAAAAGGGTTCGTTTAGGAAACTTGTCGGCAGTCTTCGTTTGAGAGTTTGTGCGATCGACAAATTGTCTTTGGAGATTTTAATTCAATTATGTTCTTCTTCTTCATCTTTTTCTTCTTCTTCTTTTTAATTTTTAATTATGTTTACCTTAGCCATGCAAGGCTAAGAGCCCTTTAATCAACCTAAGGGTAATGGATTCCATGGATTAGTCTAGAAGATCTGCTTTTTTCTTTAATCAGATTCATTTCTCTTCCAAACTCAGATTGATATCGTGCGATTGTGGATATTCAATCTGAGATTCGCGATTGCGATTATGGAAAGAGATTAATCATTAGATTTGATGATTAGATTGATTAAGCCCACGACCTTAAGTCAAACGAGATAATACTCTGCGATTGTATGAGTAGAAGCACCGTATTTGACCAAACGCTAAGCAATCGCTTAGAGAGGCTTCTTAATTGAATACAAGGATTATGATTCAATTAAGGTCAATCATGATTCGGGTATCTTTTTATCCCAGGAAAGATGTCCTACGAATCCTAGCCTTAGGTTGGTTATTTTAATGGTTTCCTACGAATCCGAGGAAAGATGTCCTACGAATCCGAGGAAAGATGTCCTACGAATCCTAGCCAAATTTTCCAAAGTTATGCATACATTTCCTTAATAATTTTTATGGTTTCTATCACTCTAAAACATTATTCTAAGCCACTTTTATCTAATACACATTTTCCATTTGAGCTCTCTAACTACACCAGTCACACAAACATGCTCTAGGGTTTATGAAATCAATCCATGAAATTAACAATGAAAAGTGTGGAAACTTACCCACAACAAGTCACAAGACTCCTCCAAGTGATCCCCAAGCAATGGCTTGAGCAAACAACTCCAAAATCACAAAATCTCTCCCAAAATTCGTGGCTGGTTTTGCCCATTATCTCTCAAATGAGAGGGTTTCAAGGAAAAATAATCGGTGGGATGTGTTCGGATGATGATTTTCAACAACTTTGCTCACAAACTTTTCTTGATTCAGGGTTGTATTGAAGGAGTTATGAGGAAGAGAAGTTTTGGAAGCTTTTCTTCCACTTCCATGGAGGTGGTTCAGTTTTTTGGTGAAGGGAGGAGAGAGAAGGAACTGGTTGGTGGTGAAGTCCAAGTGGCAAGGTCCACTTAAGTGAGGTGGGCCCCACCGCCACCTCACGCGATTTCAAACTAATTCGAATTTCCCTCCTATTCCGCTAAACGTTCATAATTTCCTAAACTAATTAGAAACTCTAATTTTTAATATTAACCATTGTCCTTTAATTGCCCTTGATCAGATGAATCCGGAGTTTTCCGGTCGTTTGGAGAAATTGCAGTTTTAAGCTGTTACGCGCGCCGTAGGAACGCTTCCCCAAACTTACTAATTTTCATCAATTTTCATCAGAAATTGTATTTCCTAGTCATATATACCATTTATAACTTGTATTCAAAACCTAGAGCTCAAAACTCAATCGGCACGTTTTACGATGCAATCGTACCGCGATATTTTTAACCGGTAAAAATACTATTCACAGAATTTTCTTAAACTTGCCTATCCACTCAATTTTTCATTCTGAATCCTCTTCCAGGGTTATTTTTCTCATTTGAGACCTCCTACTCAATTTTACCTTCCCAGGGTTACGTTTTTGACTAATTATCGTTTTACCCTTCCTTTGTATTTTGACCTGATTTTCAAGATTTTAACTAATCCTTCCCTTTAATCCATGTTTAATATATTAATGTTGCGGATCTAGCAAGTGTACTAGTCATACAAGTAATAAAATAATGAGTAAAGATCGTTCCCACGAGGATTTGTGTCAAGCACTGACTAACCATATGTACTTGAGTTGAATCAAACAAAAGTTCATAGATTGCATAGATTTCTTGTCACCAGAAACTACACTGAATTGAATTAAAACTTGATAAATAAATAAGATGTAAATTAAAATGTAAACAAGTAGTCATATGTCATTTTCCCTCAAACATGAATTTATAGATGAACCAATTTCCATTATGAATTATCTACTATGTGATGTTGATCAACCTTTTTCTTATCATCTCAAGATGTAATCCCTTACTACCCTGATAGACACATTAATCAGAAACCCCAATCCCTTGGTGATTCCTTTCTTAATACATGCATTATTTACTAAGGTCTTAAGATCACATCAGAATCCTAGCATCAATCCCTTGACTACTAGAACACTAATGATGAAGTTGTCAAAAATAGAGAAACAATGTAAACATGTCTGTTCTACACTATTCCTCAACATGAAGAATTAATCAAGACAACTTCATACAATCATATAATAGAGAAACAAAACATATCTAATTAACCATTCATAAATTCAAACTTGAGTTCCATTGAATCAGACTACAAAGGACTCTACTCAG